GATTGGTCAATTTAAATTTCAGGCGCGCCAGCCGTATGCAAGGTGGAGGAGAGGAAGATAAAGAGAGAGATGCTGCTAATCCAGGATGGCACATTAGTGCCGTCAATTTTCGTTACCAGCGTCAATTCGCCATCGCCGCGATCCAAGGCCATCAATTTCGTACCCAAATCTCACTCTGTTTGCCTGGCTGTGGGAGATCTGGGTTCTAGGTTACGAGGCCACGGGTCAAATAGCTCGGCTAAAAAAACAACTGGGAGCAAACTGGGAGCGGGGGAAAGAGAGCGTGCTCGCAATTCGTAATGGTACCTGAGTGCCGTCTATTTTCATCACAAGAGTCCAGCCCCCTCCGCCGCATTCACCAAGACCGCTGTTACTCATGTGACAATAAACAGGGATCTTTCCAAAATTCGGCATTGTCAGCTCGTAGGCTTTGTCATCCTGAGCGCTGTAAGATCGCAAGAAAAGCGGATTTAACTGCAGTAAAATAACCAGAAAGCCTAAGAATCATGAAGCTCTGGAACAGTAGGACATAATTTATGAGCTTCAAAACTTTGAGAATACTTCAATGTAAATTAACAATAGCGCTACAATCTTTATTTAATATCCCATTACTATGAGTAAAAACTCAGTACTTTGATTTAAATTATTTAAATGTTATATTTCATGAATCGTTTTTACCTTGACTTAAAGAGTTGTCTTTTACATGGGGTGACTAGTGAGAATTCTCATTGTACATGAAACTTTGCTCCTAGATTCTCAGAATAAACGTTTATGTCTACACTCAGGAGCCTATTACTAGGAGTGTGCGACCACACCATATTCCTGTCACGGTGTTTTCACAGACCGATCTATTTTTGATTTGAATTTACCGCGAATTCAGATCCCCGCAGGAACCTCAGTGACCAACCACAAGCACGGACTTAATTTTAAACTGACGTCATCATTTCAGTGATGGGCTCTTCTAGTGTGGTAAGCCATTTTCTACCTTACCGATGCGCGCTCATGTAGACTGGAACCGACCCATTTCGCGGAAAAAGAAGCCTAAAAATAGACCGGTCGGTAAAAATGCCGTGACATAGGCTTAGTATGGAAGTTGCACGCTCCCAGTGATGGGCTCCTAGTATACCTGACAAAGAATATGTGTAAACCCATGCGCAAAGTTGTAAATGCTTTCTTTTATAGGAAGATTTTTTCATAAGAACGCTGAAGCTAGCAATTGCTGCGAAAGACCGTTAATTTAGGCCTTAAATTTGGTTAAGAAATGTATAATTTTGTTAGTTAAAGTTGTAAGAGTTACAAATGAAAGAAATAGTTTTGTCATCCCCGGTAGTGACAATCACGTCAAAAAGTTAAATGATGTCGGCCCTTAAAAGATTTACTGCAATATAATTTCACAATTAAAGAAATTTCGGTTCAAATCGATGAAGAAATTTATGTCTCAGACTGAAAACAGGTGTACATATAATTTCATAAAAAGAGCATCGCCACACGGAAACGGTACTCTTGTGAAAGATAGTTAGAAAGCGATGTATGTTTAAACTCTTGACACTCTTAAAGCTGTTCTTGCAAGATTGGTCACATGCAGTCCTTTTTCTCAACCGCAAAACGCAAAACGTTCAAAAACAACCAACGGACGAGTATGTAGGTCAGCAATACTCACTTCGTCTTGTCATGAATATCTTTGCACGAAATTGATGCTAAAAGAGAGAAAACGAAAGCGTTACTTTAATATATGGCTAATCCTCGTTTGATTTACTTAAGGACATTCGCGCTTATTATTTCTGCTCAACCTTACTGCGCACGCAAATTCACACGCCACGTCATGCATGAGAACGCGCGCTAAGTAATAAAATGAGCAATGATAGGGCATTGCTATAACTTTGCCTAGATTTAATGATCTTGGACGTTCCGTGACCCCTACTTTTCTTTCCAGAAACAGATTTTATTTACAATGATCTCCACATTGTCCAAAAATGAACAAAAATTCAATGTGGGAAGTTAAAAAAATTTCAAGATTCCTGTCCACGGGACATCGAATCCTGCCATCTTACGGCTGCAAGGCGCGTGAAACTATGGTCGCTAAATGCGAACTTGTTCTTTAAGGAACCTCACCAGTTGACTAAATTCACTTAACAGGTCCACGTAAACAATATTTGGCAGAGAACATTTCACCTGGGCTTACAGACACTGTGGCCTTATTCGCTAACGAAACTCGATTTTTTCAGATTTAGGGAGTTCTTCCAGGCATGTTCTCTCCAAAACGAAGTCGGTGACCCCCCATTTTTTTTTTTTTATACATTTCTGACATGACTAACTCATCATCTTTTAGTGTTTAAAGTCTCAGAAAAAAAGTCAATGTTGGAAAATTTACGCGCGAACTTCCTTAAGATTATGACTTCTCGGAAATGGCAAAGGACAAATTAAGAAACAGGAGAGTGGCAGGGGTGTGGGAGCGGAGAGAGGGGAGCGGTGTGGCAGGAGACAATTTGACCCAGGAAAAGCTAGCTATTTATCACTGTTCACGAGTACTCCCGCGTTTATAGTTTGGCTTAATCACGATCTGGTTCATTCTTGCTGTATGTCTCGATATACTTCCGGCTTCTATCCACACCTCCCCCCCTGGGGGTATTGTGCCGGATGTTGCGATATAAGACCAGTTTAGATGCACCACAAACAGTTAGAAGTAATTCGTTGTGAGGTTTTCCGGTCGTGTGATTTTCTCGGGGCTATAATTGATGTTTTCGTGCTTATCTACGTTTAAAAATACACTGAGTAAAAACTCACTTAAGGAGGATCCACTTCCACCACCTCCGCCACTTCCGCCACTTCCTCCACTTCCGCCACTGCCTCCACTCGCCAACTTCTTGTTTATTGCCGCAATTTCCTGGTCTAACAGCGCGCGTAGCTGCTGAAGATCTTTACAAGGGTGGCATTTCCGTTTTCCATTCACCACATGGCCATGGAAAATACTAGTTAAAGAAAGCGACAGAAGAATTATTGTCGCAAACATCTTCATCCCTTAAGACTGCGGGAAGAAAAATCCAACCTCCACTTCACAGACGAGTTCTTTAAGTGCGTGTTGCTTGAACAGCTTAGGTGTTTTTATGAGCATTTTTCTGCTCGCATAATCATCACAATCTAATAACAGATAGTATAGAATGACAGCCACCAGAGTGAATGTCCTTCATCTTAATGTTTAGATAGTCAGGCTTAGATGCTTATGCTTCACCCACTAAATTTTTCCCCTATCACGTGCCAGGCATAAACCCTTTACCATCCTCATGATTAGATCATTTCATTTGTATGGGTGACTCCCTCCTAAAGACAAACACATTCTACTCTTACGTTGCGGCTTTTGGAATCGAGACTAAAGAATGGTTTCCATTTGTTAAAACACCCAAACGTTTCACGGAATCCGACCTTTAATTATAATCTGCTCCCTTACACAGGAAAGACATATTTTCATACTTTTAACTAACTGCACGTCCTTGGTTTCTTGAAAATTGACGTACTTAACGTCTCGTCAAGGCATAGGTTCAGGTTCATCTGCGTGTCACGCTATCTCATCTAGTTAAATGAAGAAAATTCTGCTCTCAAGTTGTTGTCATTTCCGTTTGTTTCCCTTCTAAATTTTATACCCAGGTTATAGATTGGCATGGATATCGTTATTCCTAAAGAATATTTTGCTGGCCTTAGAGTGACTGGTGTTGAATATGCAGAATATTTTTTAGAATTAAATTGAAATATAGTAAGAAGGGTGCTGGGCTCATGGATAATGCGCTCGACTCCGGATCTAGCGGTCTGGGTTAGAGCCCTGACTGGAGGCATCGTGTTCTGTTCTCGGACAAGACTGACTCTCACAGTGCCTCTCTCCACCTAGGTGAATAAATGGGTAACGGCGAATTGAATGCTGGGGGGTAACCCAGCATTCTATCGTTCCATCCAGGGGGGAGTAGAAATACTCCTAGTCGCTTCATGCTACAGAAACCGGGATAAGCTTCGGCCTGGTGGGCTATTGGCTCGTATGCAGACTTAACCATGGGGCAAATTAGTAAAAGGAATTTCCAGACTCCCTCTCTCTCTAAACAAAAAAAAAATCCCCCAATCTCTCAAGGATGGAAATTGGCCTCAAACGTGTTGAAAACAGATCTGCTCTCTGATGCACGAACAAAAAGCATACATACGTGATTTCAGTCCATGTATATTACCTTGGTTTCTTGTGAATGAATATCGTTAAAATGTTGTCGTCAGGTCATATTCTAAATTCAAGGGTCAATGCAACAGAGCTGTAATGTAAACTCACACAAGATACAACTCACTCACGAGCCATTTGAACAAGCTACACTACAACACAAATCGTATATTTTTGTCGTTCTTCGAAATAGCGTTAATTTTCCAAAATAGGCTTGACCGTCAGATCCACTGTGATAGACTAGCACATGCGCTTAGATTCTCAAAAACTTTGGCCCAAAGTTGTCCGTTTCTGTCATCCAAGTTAACGTTTATATCGTTCTCCATCTTTGCCATCCTTACAATGGATATTTTCTAACTGCTACTCCGATAATAGTAATAATTGAGCCCGATTTCCATCTAGGCAGAACCAAAAATGGAACAACTCAAAGCAAAACTGCATCTTTTAGAGTGAGTTAAAACTCATTTTCTTTATTTGCTACATTTTGATGGCTATCTTCTTTTTTGTTTTGTTTTTCCTTTTGAGAAAACCATTTATATTCATTAACGTTCCTTATTTTGTTCTCTGGATGTAATATGTATATCGCTATTCCCACTATAACGTATTTTACCTGAGTTCCGATCACTAAAGAAATACCAGTTTTAAGAAGCGTGAATTCGTTTTCCTATACAGTGGCTGGTTATCGAGCCTAAGTGGTTTGCCTGCATTGCAGCCTACAACTACAACATTGACAACAAATTTACCCTTTCTGGGCTTGAAATATCATAGATTTGTAGTCCATTCCTTATCATTTAGTAGCTCAACCGCGCAGCCAATATTCGGCGTTTATATAATAAAGCGCGATCGGTTTCTGTCGCCAGACAAATGGCTCATCACACAAACAAACGTTCGTCATCGAGGGCCGGCGTATGTTACAGCTCTGTTGTTAACATTGTTGTTCAGTGTCATTCTCAATAATTGAAATTATCCAAACAATGTAAAAAACTAACGAAGTAAATTTTACAGATGGGTGAGGATTTTATTTATATCAAATCACTCGAACACGCCGCATAAGCCTACACTATACGTTTGTACTGTTTCGCACATTATTTGGGTGAAAAACGTAGCTGGTCAGGGGTGGATTTACATTAAATCGTTGGCGTCAGATGGTCAGAAACCATCAGCAGCTAAAATCTCCGGAGGAAAACACAGGAGGAGAGGATACTCAAACTACCCAGTACCAGCTGATAGTTTTAGTACAAAGAACACTCAAAGAGAATGAATGATAATCTGAGAATGTTCATTGCATCAAAATTAAGACAACAACTGGCAAAACTAGAAGTTATATTTCGGTAAGCCGAACTGTGCGCCGTCAGACAAGAACATGCCGTACCCCAATCCAGTAGAGATCTTTGCGTTTTGTCTTGAGTATTTTCGTTTCGTCTCTTCATTGTTTTTAACACTGTATTTAAGAGCTATCTTGTATGCACATTTTAGTCTGATGATGGTATAGTTCTTACCGAAATATATTTCCCTACTTTTGCCAATTGTTGTCTGCATTTCTACAGCGGCAATGAACATTCTCGGATTATCATTTATCGTAGCTCTCTGTATACTCAAATTAGAGGGAAGAAATGGAAATGAATCGGCCACGCATTAAGAAAGCAACGGGAAAGTGTCTCCAGACAGGCCCTCCTCTGGAAACGAAAGAAAGCGAGGAAGTACAAAAGCAAAAAACTGCAGAAGGTCAACCGAACAAGAACTGCGGCAGATAGGTCTAAAATGGAACAAATTAGAAGAAGGAACATTGTGGCAGCGCTCTACGCTTCACAGAGGAGCGAAGGGGACAGAGAGTGAGGGGCGGGAGGGGAGGGTAGAAGGAGCAACTAAGCATAGCATCAAGTCCTTCCCCCTCTCACAACCCCACCCCCCTCAATCCCTGCGAGTTTGTGCAACCTCGTTCCCGAAGTCCTATCTTTAGGGCAGAACTGCTCATAACCGGCGCGAGTTATTCCTTGTCCCCCTTTTCCCTAATATTTAGAACTGGCGTTCAATTTCAATCTGGTTATCTCTATTGCCTCTGATATTTGATTATCATGTGTGAGATTAGTCCACTGTACTGCCAATTACACTGTAACCAGTCCTTTTTTATCTGTAGCTATAGCTTTCTTTCCATTTCCTTCCTACGATTTGTTTACCAGAACTGGAAACACTCTCTGAACACGTTAAAGAATGCGGGGGTGCACCCGAATTTTCGTGGAAAATGTGAATTTAATTTTATTTTGTTTTTCTCGGAATTTAATTGCGTTGAAGGAGGGGAGGGGACGGTAAAGAAGAAATATCCCACAATGCCTATCAATCGTTTAATTTGAGAAATTTTTTCCACGTGCTACATGTAGAGAAGGTTATTTGGCTACGATTTTCAACTTCCTGGTAAGTAAATGAGCTTTCTTTGCTTTCTTTTCTTTTCTTATTAACTTATGTAAGACATATTGTAATTTGGTGGTGTTTTCTGAATTCTAGATCAGAGAAAAAGAATGGAGTGTGGGAATATCGAGAAGTCGACGCCGAAGCCGCCATATTGCATGCTTATTGTGTTGTTTATACGCAGGTAGGTTGTCTTGTATTACTGATTTGACTCGAGCAAATTTATTTTTAGTGCGGGTATATCTTACAAAGGAGCTTCACGTTATATTTCTTGTATCGCTCCCTGCTGTAATTTGTTGGCGAGTTTTTGCATTTGGCAGCGAAATGGCGGCAAATTTAAAACCCTGATGTATCAATTTTTGTTTCCATATTATCTTTAACCTTGAATGTACATTCCTTACCATTAACCAACTCACATTTATACATCCCGTCGAAAAATCTTTAAACTTTGTCTAAGTAATTTCTGTAATTTGTCCGTAACCGTGTATCCTCAGAAATCGGTCAGTACAAAATGCAGATTGCGGACTGGAGACTGCAGAATGGATACAAAATGTAGACTAGCAGAGATGCCAAACTGAAAAACAAAATTGAAATCTGGGAAATCGGCAATTTTACTTTCTTGGCTGGTTAAAGTAGACCACGGCCAATTCAACCACAAGTATCCATCAAAATATCCAAAAAATATTTCCAACAAAAACACCAAAAGTCAGCCAAAATATGTCTGAAAAATGTATTTTATGCACTTTGCTTCACTGTATTGTCTGGGAGATGTGGGAGACTTGGCGGTTAGGTCTTTATTTGAGATACTCATGGATAATCCAGGGCTGGGGCTGGTCAAAAACCTGTACCCGGTCTGCAGTCTGCATTTTGTACCCAGTTTGCAATCTGCAGTTTGTCCTGACCCTCTCTGAAATACCAGTACATGTAGTCTTTCCAAAAGTGACTAGTGAATAAAAGAAAGCCACTTGATCTGAATTGGGCAATAGCATGTAACACACAAAGCTAACAAGGTTTACTGCCCTAATGAACATCAAAGAATGCAACTTTTTTACACTCCAGGATTGCCAAATGCAAGTTATACAAAAGAAATTGCGCTTCCTCATATGGACATGTGTTTATATTTATAACTATACATGGGCGTCTAATAAGAAACAAATGATTATGAATGACAAATACTAACTGAAATCTTACCCAGCATATATTAATATATAATGTAATTACATTAGTGTTTTTCCTTCTTCAGAGAAATATCAAGCATGGAATGCTACATGTAGAATCAATAAACTCTGTTTGAGAGAGAAGACTGAACAGCTTCAGATGCCCTGTATTGATGAGGTATGTATATGCTGATTACTTACACATTCTAAACTTAAGGCCACAGCAGGGAGCCTCCTTATCAGTTTAATGGGGATTCTGGTCAGAATTTTGAAAAGCACCCCTTTGAGGTGCTAGAATGCACTTTTTATGTTGTGGTTCAAGTTAATTAGTAACTCAAATAACTGCCTATTAATTTTTCACATTGTGAGTTTGGGAGCAAATTTCACTCGTTTGGTCTTTCTGCCCTTCACTTCCTGTTGAACTTTTTTTCGCATACATGTAACATGATTTACTCCCGAGTGATTTGGTTTGATAGCAAAGATTTCTGTCATTGGATCAGTTACTAGACAGCTGGTTTTGCAAATCTGTGTAACATTTGGTAATGATTCAGGGTGCAACAAAATGCTTTAATTTATAGAAACTGACATGGTTTACAGCAGAGAATTCTGAGTGAGAAAGTGAACAGATACTTTTTACCCACATGGTATTTGCATGATCCATTTTTTGCCATGATATAGTTTGTCATCTGATGTGCATGTATGGGTAGTTGAGCTTACATTTCCTGAAGAACAGATTACACAATTGCAATGTAGCTTCTTGTTGTAGATGACAAATTATAAGCCAGAATTTTTTAATCGTTTTGACTCTTAAAAAATTTGAATCTTTTCTGAACTACATGCATGTGCGGTGATAAAAGAACAAAGAAAATGCTCGTTTGTCATGACTATCTGCCCCAATTAAGCCATAAGTGACAGCATGCTGCACCATGCAATAAGTCAAATTATTAAATTACAGCCATGCTATGGTGAGCTTTTTCCAAAAGTTATGTGTACTACAGGATGTGTATTTTCTATTCTATCAATTGATTCTTAACACAGAGTTCGGATTATGCATGGAACATTGTTTAGAAAAAACAACAAGAACACTGTTGAGTCTTGTTTACTTATGGATTGATCGACAGAAATTGTTTTGTGATTTTCACAACAGTAGCTATTTTGTGATTTTTGTAAACTATCACATGATAATAATTCCAACCAAATGACAAAAGCATAAACAACATTATTTTAGAGTACATCACTCATTCAAATTTGAAGTGTTTTGCTAGTTGGTATGCCATTTAGAATGTAGCCCATGGTTGCATAAAATAGTAAGTACACCATACTCCACAAACATCTGTCATTTGGTACCACAATGTACATAAGTCATCTGCGATTTGTGAACATAAAATGATAAAAAAAAGTTCCTTATTTTAAAAATGGTTCTTACAGTATTTTGTCATATTTTCTGGGCACTTTTCAGAATCAAGAAGAGATCAACATTGTTAAAGATAGTTATTTCCTCGTTTTTCAAGTCCTTGATTATAAATTCTATCCTGTTAAGAAATTGAAATTCTAGTGATGAGCTTAATTTTGTCTAGATGACGAGTAAGCTTGGAAGCAAATCAAAAGAAATGCTTAAGACATTCAGTTCTTTCTCTTAAGTTCCCTTTCTCATTCAGACTTTCTAAAGCAAATTCTTACCTATGGGGCTCTGCAGTCATCAGACTTAGACTGCTGAGTGTGACATTATGGCTTTCCCTTCATCTGAAGTTCAGGGATTTTTTTTGCCAAGTTTGAACAGTTACCAGCTGAGTCCCACTGTATGTAGCAAAAACCTTAAAACAAATGTAAATGACCTATACAAGTGAATATATGAAAGATCATATATTTGAATTGCAGAGAAAGATATAAAGATATGATTGATCATAGCAGTTATACACACAACTTAAGCAGTTGTGAAATTAAAGCCTGAATAAAATTCAGGCCTGAACAGGATTCGAACCCCTTACCTCTGCGATACCGGCGCGGTGCTCCACCAACTGAGCTATTAAGCCAACTGGGAACTGGTCACATTGTGAGTTCATAATATACCCGTAGATGGTGCAGAATACAAGTGAATATATGAAAGACCATATATACACTGTATGAACTGCAGAGAAATATACCTTTCATTTTCTTGTATTTGTGTCCAAATCAAGCTTGAAATTTTGATGCAAAATTTTTTTGTCGCCAATCATTTCCCATGATCTCTGGACAGACTCTACACAGAACTGAAAAAGTGTTACTGATAACATTTGAAATGTTAGGGCTTGGATAAGAAATGTTTTAAAACAGTCAACTTCTCCTTGGCATTTACTTTGTCAGGAGCACATTGGATATGTGCTGTTCCTGTTCAGTTAAGACATTTCCATAAAAAAGTAAGGAAGATATAGGTATATTGTTCCTTAAACAGATTCCAAATATCCTAACGCGACCGTGTACAAATTTTACCGCTGTGGATGACCTGATGTGATGGCGTTATTATGTCTCTAGATTGTTTGGTAGTGACATTCTTCTCAGTTTATACATGCAAAACTTAATAGTATTTGGTGGTTTGAAATCTTTTCAACTTTAATTGCAGAAATTACAGTATTTTCTAGCAGTGGAACTGTTAGTAAACCCTTTTATAGTAAAGTCTCCATATAATGTGCACTCTGATTGGCTGAAACAGCATGCTTTTTCAGAGAACAGATGCACAGGTTGATGACAGTAAGCTGGCTTTCCAATTTTTGCCTCAGAATTTGACAAATTTAACCCAAATTTAACATGCCCTGTGACTCAGACAATTGTAATGGAGACAAGGTATTTGTATGCAGTAAATATGGCTGCACAGAGACCATTGTTAATAACAGTAGAGTTAAAACTGCACTAAAATGACAAGTATTGCAAGATTGCCGCAAAACACATAGCCATGCAAATAAACAAGTTCTCAACCTAGCGAATGCTTCGATAAAATACATTATATTTGTTATGGAGGCAGAAATCGGCAGGTATATTTTGCAGGGTGCAGGGTGCAGGTTGCAGGTTGAAATGTAATTATAACTGGAAAACCGCTGGCACTTGAAAGAACAGACAGTTGGTAGAATTACCGTGACTGTTACATGACGCTGTTTACAGTTGCTCAGAAAGGTGGCTTCCACCTAAGTGCCAAACCGGCCAAAGCGATGGGAGGAGAGTATATTTCAATGATTTTAAGCCTGCAATGAATTATTGTTTTTGAAGAAACATCTGAAATATCATCTGAAATATCTGCTGAAT